CCATTTCTTTTTGTCTCTTAGACCCACTCACTGACCCATTTTTTCTGCTTCCAAAGCATCAACTTCAAGAACTGACTGTTCTCTTGATTCCTAATATGTCCCCTTGAACTCTTTAATGTAATAAGATGACCAATGTTATTCTCCACCTGTCAGTGGTTATAATGTGATGGATGTTTAGTGTATATATCAACGATTACAGTGGGACATGATGCCAGCCAAAAAGAAACCTGTAAAGGGTATTTCTAATTGGTTTTATAAGTAGACTGTTTATAAAAGATGGACATGGTGACCGTGATGCCACCCACTGGTCTTTGGACTGCTGTTTTGAAGCTTTGAGTTTGATGTTTGTTGGTCTTTTGATGCTGGACATAAGGAGTGAGCAGTGGGTCTGACTGTAGAATGTGAAGTGATGCTGCAGCAGTCTGTCAATCACATGGCACTGCTGTAAGATACAGCTGGCCTCACTGCCCATTTTACTCTGAATGAGACCATAAATAACAAAATGCACACCATGCTGCATTTGAAAAGTCTTGAAACTGGTGATTGAGACCATGAATTCATTTGGCAAATGCTTACTGAGGTAACAGGGAGAAATAGGGATGTTTTCTCGTCGACTTCTATACAATTTGACTTCTTTTTGTAAGCAGCGGAGTCGCCCCCTGCTGGCTGTTAGAAAGAATGCAGCACATTAGTTTTACTGTTCAGACATGGAGGCTACACCCATCTGTTACACACATGTATTCATAAAATTACAGTTAGCTACAAAGGTCAGACTGGGAATGAAACTGTAAATCAGTTATCTTCTCTAACAATTTTTAAAACCATTTCTCAGGGATTAAATGTTTAAAAAAAAGATATCTGCCCCTTGTTAGCACTGTAAAAGGTATTTGAAATAGTGCCCTTTTAGAGTATGAAGATGCACTCTTACATCATGTCATGAACAATTCACCATTCAGTGGGAACAATATATTTGTTGAACTGTTGAGGGTTCAATAAGCAAAATCAAGTTGAACATATCATTACTGTATGCTTGTGTGTATTTTAGCAAACAGGCAAATAGATTTTCTAAGGACAAAATAGATCAAATTAAATATTTTTCACATACAGCTTTCTTGTCACAAAAGATTACACTATGAAGTTAATAAACAGGATGGATCAGCTATTCTGAATCTTTATTAGTCACATGCATTATGACAGAAGTAAATTACACTGTGTACTGAAACACACCATCATTGTTGTGGTCAGAGATTGTGCAAGTTACTTAAAAAATGTGTATCCTAATTAAGAGACGGATTAACATCTAAAAGTATAAATCAAAAAATACAATTGTATTAATGTATGACCTGTTTTCGAGAAAATGGCCTAATTACAGTGAACTAAGACTAGTTTTAAAATTCAATCCATTCAGTCTGAAACAGTATTTTTCTAAAATAAATTTCAGCTTCATATGCAAACAGGTGCAACACACTCACAGAAAACTGCTGTTTGACATCAAACTTAGAATTAAGTTAATATTCATGTTACAGTTTACAAGAACACACAAATTCTAAGCTCTGATCGTAAGTTCAAACAAGATACACCAAAGGTAAAAAAACAAACAAACCAAACCTGCATGTTACTCTTCAGACTTTGAGAGTATTTTAAGCGATAGCTCTACCTCAGAAATGACTGAATGCTGACATTTAAGCAAACTTAAAGCCCCCTGCAGACTGCTTGAAGATATATTAAAATACTCTGCTTTGAGTAATAATTTGTGTCTGGCACAATTTTTCTTTTAAAGGTGAAATACACATGAAATATTGTCCAATCTTTCTCTTTCATTGAAGCATCCTGAATTTGAATATGCAAATACTAACTACAGGTACACAATAACTCTGACATGACAATGCTTGTGTATGTGCGATGCAGGCTTCAGTCGTTCATGTCACACTGTGTCAAACTCTGAACCAGCATCAGTCTGCACACTGAGACATCAAAGCACAGAGAGATTTTAAGATATCAGTGTGTTTAAGTTCAAATAGTGATTTAGCATATAGGCAGTAGCCTGCAGGGTTGCCATCATTTGGGGCAAAAATGAAATACAACATTACATTTTATACCTTTTTTATGAAGGGCATTAGGTCTGTCTCTTATGTGATTTGCCATTTATTGATATGAATCTGTAAAAAACACACAACCAAATGAGATTTTAAAATGTCCATTTAAAGTATCTCATACAATGGAGCTCAGAGCTGTATTCAGTATGTACTAATCAAAATGAAAATAACACCAGAAGCACACACTCTCTTTATTTTATTCTCTAGGACTTAATTATTCAAATATAAAGCTATGACAAGAGATGGTAGTACACTCATTAGATATGTTGCAGAAATTAATTTTTATGACAGATGGGTGAATGTTTTAATACCTTTCTAGCAATAAAGTGGCAAAAACAGTATTTGCATCTGTAATTTGCAGACTAATTTATCAAAGTACATTGGAAGGACACCATTGCAGTCAGAATCCACTGAAGAAAAATAATTTGAAAGAACTGATACCACTCATTTGTTTGTTAAAAACATTAGGCAACAGACAGGTTTATAGCTAGTTGATCATAAAGACGGTCTTTGTCCAAAGGTGAAAGTTGAAAGCTCAGTAATCTTATCTGCTATGCAAAAACATGAGTGTAAACAAGCAAGCTGTGGTTGAATATTATTATGTTGCAACTTAAAACCAAAAATCATTTGCTGAGACTTGCAATTACTGGATGCAGCTACTGACTAATAGTTTTGGTGTAATTCTGAATGAGACCTTGGAAGTACTGCGGCGTATTTTTATGGGGCTGAAGGATAATGATGTAGCATTTGGGGAGGAAATACCACAACAGAAAGGAGTAGAGACTGGAGAGTACAGCCAGGGCGTTGAATGTGTGGATGTACTTGCCACGATAGAGCATGTATTCAGTGGCAAAGAGGATCCATGTGAGGATCAGCAGCAGGAGGCAGAAGGTTATGGCTTTGGCCTCGTTGTAGTTTTTCGGCAGGTCTTTTCCCAT